CATTACTTATTCTTCGTATATAAGTAAGTTTTCGAGATGAAATAGGATGAATACACTTCCTATATATTATGTATTGGTAGTCTAGAAAACGAACTGAGAAGCGAAAAAATAAGTAATGTAGTCGATTGCTATAGCAAATAAAACTTTGCTACATCGGCAATCCCACCACATAATGTGGTGACGGCAATCGTGGAAATGTGGCGAGGTGCCTAACATGTTGAAATTATACGTTGCATTGCCATGGTTCGAGCCCCGCTGGAAGTGCTAAGACCATTTCAGGCGAGATCGAAATTGCAGTCCATTCCAGCTTGGATGAGAATACTTTTTGGGAATCAAGTCTACGTAAGCTTCAATATAAACGTAAAGTCTACATAAAGTATTGTAGAAGATTCATTTACCTGTCGTCGTATCATCTTAAACGAAATAAGGTCAATACATATAATATATAGGGTATACTGGTAACCTCGAAAACCTTCATATAAATGAAAACAATTCGGATAGTTGAGATGACAACCATTTCGAGTGAAGTGTTTGGTAAAGAGATTTTGAGGATGATCCCACCAGAAGACGACGAAGAACTTCTCTTGGCTAAGCGTTGATTGGTTTTATTGTAACATTCAGGTTAAAGCGGTTTCCGAGCAAAAACTCATTCGATTTAGGTAAAAACTCGCTAAGATTTCATCCGTCGTATGACGAACATCATCAAAGCAGAGCAGCATTCTTACAACCACATTCAAGCTAACTTCAGATCAAAAACGCCTATATGCAGCGTCCCGCCATGCCTACTTTTCCACATATTTACACCATTCTAGCAGGCAGTCTCGGTTATCTTGTTTTGGCCCTCCTTTCCCAGCTATCCTTCGTCTCATCAACCTTCATCGCGGGCACGCATACAAATTTTACCCATAGTATAATCAACTAGCTTTCGACACCTGATCACTTTATAACTTCAACATTAAATTTCTACTAATTCCAGCCTTCGTACCGGTTTCAAAATACGTCTAAACAGGATTCGGATTAATTCAGAATTTTCACATAAAATCTGCTAGTACCTAAACATGCAAAAGGTGTATCTCGCGGAGCCAAAAATAGATATAAATGGATACGAATGGTAGTTTCAAGTTGATATATTAATATATTCTGGCTAAATTAAAG